TTCGACTACACAAAACATCCTTCAAAACCAGGTATTGTGTTTTTTGTTTAATATCATGTGTTCCTCTCATGTAGAGTATCATTGCTTATTTTCAGTGGGGTCTGAACATTATAAGGCACTGTGCTAGTTGCATTTATATTTATTCTGGATGAAGTCGTAGATACTAATAATATACTTCATGCAATGTGATACTGAAATACGCAAGAGCAACCACATTTTGCTGCCATCTGTTGTGTTTGTTTGGTCCCAACATCTATATTTTTATCTTTGAAGATCCTAGTGGAGAATGCCAGCCAGAATTGAGACTGAAGGGCCATCAGAAAGAGGGGTAAGTGACTTTCAATATTTTCATGTACAACATATTCATTGTCTTGTTATATGATAGATGCATTGTACATCTTTTAACTGTCTTATTATCAAGTATTATCAAATAGTTATTCATGGATTAAAACTTAATTGAAAATTATCTTTCAGTTATGGTCTCTCTTGGAACCCAAACCTGAATGGGAATTTACTCAGTGCATCTGATGACCATGTAAGTATAATTATTGGTTGATATACTACTGTCAAGGTTTTCCCCCTTCTGGAGAGCTGTCTAGCCATCATTTGGACAGCCACTGGCATCAAAAGATGGCTGGACAGCTTACAGAATTTTTGGGAAATGACTTGTTTGGTGTGGATTCTCTGTAAATCTGTGACATAGTTAAATTCACATTTTGGACTCCCTGTACCCCAAATCCTGGAGAAACCCCTTTATTCTTTAAACAGTTTAATGTATAGTAGATGAATAAAACTGCCTCAATTCATGACAACTTCATACTGAATTTTAGCTGTTGATAGAGTACTATTTAAGCATTTTATGATTTAAAAAGCAAAGTGAAAGCAATTTGAATGTTTTGATGTTTTGTTTTCGTGAATATTACACTTAAACGTGGAAGTCTGGTTTTAAGATATTGAAAACAATTAAATATGTTACCATGTCCTCGTTTCACTAGACAATTTGCCTGTGGGATATCAATGCCAACCCCAAAGAAGGACGTGTGATAGATGCACAGACTATTTTTACAGGACACACATCAGTCGTAGAGGTACATGTGACTTCTGTGTTTTGAAAATGGATTTGAAAGGATTTTGCTTAGTAAAAAGAAAAAATGGCACATTAAGCTGCAAAACAGAAATGATACATGTTATTTCTGTTTTTGATAGTCAATAGAATTTGATGATTTTCTCATTATTATTTTTTGATTGTTTTAATGTTTCTTTTCTTGCAAGTTCTAGCTTTGTTATCTGCAGAAAATGGGTTTGATTTTTCTACAGCATTTTCTTTATTGTTTTGATTTTATTCTACAGGATGTGTCCTGGCATCTTCTTCATGAAAGCTTGTTTGGTTCAGTGGCTGACGATCAGAAGTTGATGATGTAAGTGATATCAAAGTGGTTCATTCTTTAGTTTTATGGACCATCTGTTAGGGTAATAGTGAAGGGGTAAACGTTGAGCTTGCTTTCAATTAAGAATCTTAATTTAAGATACACACATTTTCAGAAGTCTGTATGGTAGCAGAGTAATTGCATATATTCATCTTTCAGTACATGTAATTCTTGTCATGTTTCAGTTGGGACACAAGGTCAAATAACACAAGTAAGCCGAGTCACACGGTGGATGCCCACACAGCAGAAGTGAACTGTTTGTCTTTTAATCCATACAGTGAATTCATCCTGGCCACTGGATCTGCAGATAAAGTAAGTTTATCCAGTTAAGAATTTCTTCACGGGCCAGCTTTATAAAAGAAATTTGCTGCATAAATTTGTCTTTGCTTTTAGACTCGAGATTTGATCTCCTTCAGTTAAATACCATATCGTGCATAGTAGTTCTTTTAGATAAGAAGTAAATATTGGTCTGCAACATTCTTTTGAAATGTTTAATTGACTTGCTGGTGAATCTGCTTTGGTCAAGAGTGGACTGAAATTTTGATTTAAAGGATGTATTTGGCATATTGACTTAATTTGAGTTGTATAAGAAACCAGTAGAAATTGTTTATATGCATTACTGGGAATCCATGTTCCACCGACGCTAGGTTCAAATATGCCTTAAGATTTAAACCAGTATTCAGGTTTAAGTGCTTTTGTGACACAAAGCCCCAATGCTGTAAAACGCTTGCTGTGGTATTTTATTCAAGAAAACGTGGTTATAACTGAGCTATAGGCAAGTCTAATATATTGAAGGTGACTAAGCAGACATTGAAATACTTTTCCACAATAAATCTTTATTTGGGCTGTTGATTAAAGAAAGTATCAAAATGAATGTGTTTATAGTTTTACAATTGTTCAGGTAAATAATGATTAATTTTGGGGAACATTGAAATATTTACGTGGAAAGTATCAAAATAAATAAGTTTAATTTTTTTGGTAACATTTTGTAATATTTAATTGAAACTCAAACTGGAGTTTATAGTTTTACATTTGTTTACATAAATTATGATAATTTTGGGGGAAGTTTTTTATAGAATGATGCGTTCTATCATTTTGATATCAATATTTCAGACTGTTGCATTATGGGATCTGAGGAATTTAAAACTGAAACTACATTCCTTTGAATCGCATAAAGATGAAATTTTCCAGGTAGGTTTTATTGCTCTTGTTATGTTTTGTTTCTTTTAAGATCATTTATTTAATAAATATCCTTGATAGCCTTCATTTTTGTGGCATCTATTTGATGTACCTTTTGATGGATAAGAAACAAAAGTGGTTTAGAAAGGATAACTTAGTACATTTATAATCTTTTTGTGATCAGGTCCAGTGGTCTCCACACAATGAAACTATACTGGCCTCCAGTGGCACAGACAGAAGACTGCATGTATGGGATCTCAGGTAGGGGTGATATGTAGTACTGGCAGATTTATTTATTTTCTATATAGCCTTGATAAATTTGGGATTGCACCCAATATGAGTCAATTGGAATTTTTGTAATATATTGAAGGTGAAAAAATAATAAAATGTATATGATGCTAGAAGTATATAACTTTCAGGTGAGCAGTTTTATCAAAACCTTGATGCTGATCACTGTGTTTATAGTTTCGTCATTGGGTGTATATAAAGGAATATATTGTTACATTAATTATTTTAAAATAGTAAAATTGGTGAAGACCAGTCTGCAGAGGATGCTGAAGATGGCCCACCTGAACTTCTGGTAGGTTTTTATTATTATTATTATTATTTTATTTATTTATTTTTTTTTATTTTTTATTTATTTTTTTTTTTTACTGTACATGTGCTTGGATAAAAATTTACCTCTTTACTCATAGCTTATAACTAAATATTTATTTATTTATTTATAAATTGTGTCATCAGTTAATTTTTTTTCTTCAGTTCATTCATGGTGGCCATACTGCCAAAATATCAGACTTCTCATGGAATCCCAATGAGCCATGGGTGATCTGCTCTGTGTCTGAGGACAACATCATGCAAGTGTGGCAGATGGTGAGTACATCAGTGTTCAAATACTTCCTGTCTGTGAATATGACCTTTAGAGCCCACTGGTCCCTCAGACTGTTAGGCCCCGGTTAGCCACAAGTCCAAATCCAAATTAACAAGTCCAGGGATGAGGTCTTCAGATTGTGGGGAAAATGAAATGATGATTGGATTTTCACTAGTTTATTGAATTAGTTTCTATGATGATTATTTATTTATTTTTGATATCCCAACACCTTTTATAATAGTCACTTAGAACTGTTGACTTAAGACACACTGTGCTCAGATATATGGAGAATGTGTGACTTTGATCTGCTGGGTTTTCAGTAGTGTATGTAATAGCAAGTTGAATAACATTCATAATCTTTTTGATGATCATCATCAGAGATATTATCACCAAATTCTCAACTGTATTCCCAGAGGATTATCCCTGTGGATAATATCGAGAATGAATTAACAATGGTAATACATTCTAGATGATATCAAAAGTTTACCCATAAAATTATATGGCATTAATGGGTTAAATCACATCAGATTTTACACTTAATCCCACTTGCTTATAAGGATTCATTTTCAATGGTGCCATATGTATGACGTTGAGATAATAAATGAACCTGTTTATTTTCATTTCAGGCTGAAAATATCTACAATGATGAGGAACCAGACACCCCTGCAACAGAACTTGAGTCTACAGCATCATAATGAAGTGAAAATTTTACTGCTGCTGATGTCAGACATTTAAAATTGATTTGATATGTAAAAACGGGAAGATTGGTCAATTTTTGAACAGTGTTGGTTAAATTTTTTTCCTGGAAAACGTGGACTTTTTATCTTGAGTATGCAAGCTTACAAAATACATTAGGACTAGATGTAATAGTACTATTTGATCGTCCTTGAAGCTGATACTGCACAACTTATAAGATATGGTAAAAATGGATTGGATCTGTACATAGTAAAGCTTTAGTGAATAGAGTGAATGGATCTGCGATTGTATGGATTTTTCTACCATGAAAAATAAAGATGGGGAAGTGTTATTGATAACTACGCTTCACTTAATTAAGTGAAAGAACCTTCTGCGAATGTATGAATTTTCCTACCATGTAAAATAAAGATGGAGAACCAGTTTTGGAGTATTAAGTTTAACTTGATTGAATGTCGTCCTGTTTTTTGGGAAAGAGTCGCCAAGCAGACCAGGTATTTCTCATTGTGAGGAATGCGCTACGGTTCAGTTCAGTGCATGTTATTGAGAATAGTTGCCTCTGACCCCGCAAGTAGTGGCTCAACTGTGTGTATTGTGTTAATGTTGTCATAATAGCTGTCCAATGAAAGCGGCGTACTGAGACACACCTCCAGTCATGGGTCGCTGATTGGTCAATGTAAAAGGGGCTGTGTTGCTTCCAGTATAAATCGCTGGATGGAGTAAATATAATATTTGATATACTGAAGAATCGAAAAACAGTCGCCATTGCTTTTAAGGTAATCTTTTTTCACAAGTTTGTTCACACAGTTTAAAAAACGTTGATTTGATGCTGGATTTCTTTAGTGTTTGGCCAACCTCCGTGCTTTGGGACTCCGTCTGGTTTTCTAAATAAATCCAGGTAAGTGTTACAGATTTAAGTGAAAGAAAACGGGAAAGGTACGATAACTTTATCTGAACAATTCACGCTTCTCAGAAAGTGTCCTAATGCAGCCTTGCACCAAAATTTTATGGAACCCATTCAATGACGACTATTGTTTACCTTGTTTGTTTTACCCCTTTGTCAGGTGAAGAGGATAGTTTGGCTATAGCAGCGACTGAACCTATTGTCTCATTTCATACTGTTTACACATTTTCTATTTCCGAATGATTAAAATGAACTTTGAACTTAGCATTTATACACTGCACGACAGTAAAATCTCAATACAGTTAAATGAGTGGGAAAGGTACCATGAAAGGGATGTTGCTGGGTTGATACGATCAATTAAAGAAATGGACTTTGGACCGTATGTGGATCTCTATGTGTAATGCGTGTATACGTGGGGAAATAAGGCCAAGTCATCTGCCCTTGATGCATGGTTATTACCATAATTAACCTGGAATGTCACATTTAACTATGTAACTCTTATCATGTGAAAGACTGAGCTCACAAAAAATTTGGGAACAGACTTGCGGTGTCAAAACATCCAATGCGCGGTTGTCAAGAATAACCTTCTCAAATATATGTATATATCACTACTGTCATGTCTGTTAAAAAGGACTATTAACATTCCCATCTGTGTTTACTTATACAGGTGTTTCCCGCCAGTTGTGGCGAGGCGTGACCCAAGCTAATGTCACTTCGATCTGCAGAATCACTTATGTTTGTGCACGTTTTTGTTTTCATCACGGGAAAACTGATGTTTGATTTAAGCGAGCACAATTCCTACGCTGTTCATTATATTGCTTCAGTACGCGTCGTTTTGTAGGTCTAAATGTTGTACATTTCATATTATATATTACAGTATTTTGGATAACTGGTAAACATGACTTCCGCGCCAAAGGTGCCTGAATTCACGCTTGGCACCAAGATCCTGAGTGCGGGCCTGGCTGCCTGCACAGCAGACGTGATCACCTTCCCGCTGGATATGGCCAAAGTTCGATTACAGGTAGGTTTTGGCTAAGAAATATCGAACTATTGACAATGCTATGAATGTTTTATGGCCTGTTTCTCACGAGTTTTGTTTGTGTGTTTTTAAGTAGTTTGATAATAATGTAAACAGCAATATATCATCATAAAAATACGTCATTGGAAGCGCATAATGCCGCATACTGTGTTTTCATCATTCATTAAAATAATTTTTGTATTCCTGAAACATTTCTAGATTCAAGGGGAATCGGCCTTAATTTCTGCCTGTGGTGCGCATTTGGCCGGCGCCCCTCCAAAGTACCATGGCGTCTTCGGAACTATTAGAACTATAGTGATACACGAAGGTGCCCGGGGACTGTACGGCGGACTGGTCGCAGGACTTCAACGACAGATGTGCTTCGCCTCTGTGAGAATAGGACTTTATGATCACGTGAAAGGATATTACCACAGTTTCTTCAATCGTTAGTACTTTTAGCAGTCACAGACTGCTTATTACAAAATGTAAATGCAGTAAAATTTTGAGCCAGAAAGGTAAAATTATATAATTATGGTGAAGATAAATCGTTTCTTTATTAGAAGGATTCGGGGATATCTTTATAATTGTGGTGCTTATCCTACTCTCATCAAAATGAGGGGGGGGGGGTTATAATAAATTTTCATTTATCTTGCAAGTGGGTACAGACGGAGACGCAAAATTACAGGGTATGCGTCAACGCTGTATGAAGCATTCGTGAAATTGTCCTTGTAGGTCCAGTCAGCGAGCCACACATCGGGATCCGTATTCTGGCCGGTGTTACCACAGGTGCGCTGGCCGTTCAGATTGCACAGCCTACAGACGTGGTGAAAGTGCGCATGCAAGCGCAAGGAAATGGTGTGCTCCCGAAGCGCTACGACAGCGCGTTTTCTGCGTACAAAACCATAGCCAAACAAGAAGGGATACGAGGTTTATGGAAAGGTTCGTTTTGAAGTAGATTGGATTATCTATTGGTTTATCCCCTCCCACACCAACCTGAGAAAATCACAAAGAAGAAAAAAAAGGTTTTTGAAGTATAGTATTTTCTGGTTTAAACATACGATTTACAAAACGTCTCCTTTCGAAACACAATACGTCACAGCACCACACGTTTTAGTCACCGGCATAACCGGAAAAAGTTAACTTTTTAACGGCATTAAAACTTTTTAAGCAGTAGAGTAGAGACCACGAGCTGGTTAACTACCAGCCAAAAGGCTAATACCCAGTGCAAAATCGCTCTTGGCTCTGTTCCACATTTTTCATTTCGCTGTCACGTTTCCCTTTTGTCACGGTTCATTTATTAATGATCCGTGTCGAATCACGTGGGGGATATTTCATCATCTTGTACGTTTGACTTATAAAAGACCAACATTATTCACGGCTATACTGCTTATATACTTCATGTCATTTTAAAATGCATCAAGATAAAGTATTAATTAATTTACCTGAACTTGTATGGTATATTTAGATGCATTTGGAATGGATGGGAAATTGATAAGCTGGCAAGAATAGGACACTGGAACGTTTTAATTGAGAATTTTCCCACTACAGGCCTACTTCGTCTTTTATAATCTTTTTATCGCCAAAAAGCCTATAGACTCTATGCATTACCCTAATTCCTCTTATCATTTCTTTTTTTCTGTATCAGGCACAATCCCCAACATGACCAGAAATGCGGTAGTGAACTGTTGTGAATTAGTGTCCTACGACATCATAAAAGAGAAGATCCTAGACTACGACTTAATGTCCGATAATATGCCTTGTCACTTCGTATCCGGCTTCGGCGCTGGTTTCGTCACAACTGTGATAGCCTCCCCTGTAGATGTAGTGAAGACGCGGTTTATGAACTCCGGCAAGGGGACGTACAGGGGCGCCTTCCACTGCGCCACCAAAATGCTAATGGAGGAAGGACCTATGGCTTTTTACAAAGGGTAACACACGGTTTAACTGAAGTGGGATTTTCATAAATACAATAATAATTACAATATAAAATTTGCAAAGCCGTCATACGCAGTGTTAGTTTGTAGGCAAGTATAAGAAAATGGTGCGCTTTTGAAGCGCTAGAGTGAACTGTCTCTACTCACAAAGTTCAAGTTTAAAAGCTAGGGCCTAATATTACACCATATTAGAAAAGATTGAAGACTACAGTTGCAGCTAACGGTGTAGTTCTCCTTTTTAAATAAATAAAAAAGATTCAGACACATTTATCGGACACTGAAAAAGGAACTTTTTAAACTACCACTCAAGGTATCGCGATACTAGACTATCACGTGTTTTTTTACTTATTTTCTGTCAATTTTTTGTTATGGCATAAACGAGCTTCATTATTCTATTTCAGATTCACTCCTTCTTTCTTGCGTCTGGGGTCTTGGAATATTGCAATGTTCGTCTGCTTCGAACAGTATAAGAGGTTCATGTACAGAGCAAAAGCTTCTTCAGACAGTATGGCTGTGTAACGTCAGATGACACTCACCGACACCGTCATAAGCATTACTGAGATATCAGAACGCCGATGGACTCTGTTCGAGCTGAATGTCATCCATAATAAAACAAGCTGTCCTCACCCAGCTGTGACTTGTCTGCCGTAAGGCCAGAGGTCTTATAGAACGTCTGTGATATTAAAATATGTTTGATATCTTATATAACATTTAATAAAAAAAGATAGAACGGGATGACCACGAGCACAAACTAAACCAGTAGTGCAATTATGTAACTTACAATAATCACTGTTTATACAAATATATATTGTTACTAAGAAAGAATAACGAATATAATATAGTATACAATAAAATGGTGCTGTAAACTATTTAGAACCATGGAGAAAGAGGATAGTAACACTGAATGATGACGGAAGCTTGTCAAGTATTTGTGCATAAATTTCAACGCCACTGGAATATTCTCAGTTATAAAAATAGATATGGGGGCACTAATAATCAGTTTTATTGTATTAGTACCTTATATTTTCGCATTATTAAACAATTTATAAAATGAAGAAATAATTTTAATTATTAAAACAAAACAAAATATATTGTTAAAACAAATTGTTAAAACAAAATATATTAAGAAATAAAAAGACGGCAATTGGATCCAACGGTTCTCTGATTTACTGATTGCATTATGTCTCTATTATCGTAACGTTGTTTGATCAGTTTAAAATATAATTATCATCATTCACCCTTTTCCCCTGCTGTTGAACTTTATGGAAGTGGTGTATAACGGGGATGTTATACTTCATGGTGGGGGATGCCAGTGTTATTTTTTCTGGAATAAAGTGTATTTCAACATCAAGTGGACTCGAGTCACGTCTACATGTATTTGACCATGAACATTCGTGAACAGTTTTAGCTACAACTCCTCACGTGTTGTAATTTGCATAACAATAAGTTGCTCATCGTAGTGAGAGCGGTAACTTGACACGATGAAGATAGGCTATAGTGAAGAGGTTAGTGTCAAGTTATCTCTGAAGCTCAGGGTGGGTATCCGAGGATACTCACTAGGCAGTTGGACACAGTTGGGCGTAGACGCAACAGTATGTGTGGTGAAGTCGCAAGATCGAGGTATTATATAAGGCTTACAAGCAAATATTTGATTCGTAAGTATCACTACTTTTTCAGTAACCCTCACAATGAACTATTTAAAGGCACAGACAAATGAAAGAAAATTTACGACAAATATTTATAACACGATAATGAGGCGATTCTTTGTCATATTTATACTCACCATTACTTAGAATATATTGGTTTTGATAAAGTATTAGGGGAGACCTGGGCTCCGTATCTCGAAAGCTTCGCTATGTTGCGCACGTGTGTTAGTGTCTCGATTCCATAACCGATTCTATTTCGAGATACGGGGCCATGAAATCGAGACTCACTTGCACGTACGCAAGTGTCTCGATTTCATGGCCCCGTATCTCGAAATATTTCGTGTGAGAAAGTGCACTGTAATCAAACACACACACACACACACACACACAC